CTACCGGGAGGGGAGGGGCACGAGGGGAGCCCGTTCGGGGCAGCCAATAACTGCGCCGTAGTCGCCTGTAACGCTCCTGCAGCTCCTCAGCCGCGTAGCCCTCGCTTCAGCCGGTTCTCAGCAGCCCTCCAAGCGCCCGCTTTGCCCCCGAGCCCAGGCGGTTACACCAAGCGCCCCCGCACCTCCCCCCTCACCGCCGGGCCAGGGCGGACGCACGGCAGGAACCTCGCCAGACTCCCGCCCCCGGGGCATCAGGCAGCGGCGCGCATCCCGCTGATTGGGGCGGGTCTGCGCAGCGCCGTGACATCAGCGACCAAGGAGGTGCCATAAGGGGCAGCGGCGGCGGGCGGCGCCTCAGACAGCTCCGGTGGTGGGAGAGGTGTGCGGTGCTGTTGGGCAGGTGCTGGCGCTAGCGGTGCTGCGCGGCCTGAGCGTCTCGCCATGACCCGTGAGTACTGGGGGGCTGCTTGGAGTCTGCCGGGTAGCGAGGTAGACGGTGGGACTTGGGCCGGCCTCCTGGTCGGGTCCAGGCGCGACACCGGCTGGGGGTCGTGCCTGGGCCGGGGTCCGGGAGTCGGCCGCTGTGTGAGGCTCTTGCCGCATCTGGCGCTTTGCGGCCTTGGCGTTTCACCAGCGAAGTCTCGTCAGCGATGAGTGGGTGAGGATGAGACTTTTTCCCACGTCCTGCCTCCGTCGGAAGCTGGAGGCGAAAACATCCTTCTCCGCCCTCTGGCGTTGCAGTGGTGGCGGGACCGGGGGGAGAGATTAAGGTGATGGAGGGCTGAAACAACAGCAACGCTCCATTTCACTCCCGGCTGTCGCCCAGACTGAAGATAAAGGACGTTGTATCAGTGCTCAACACTGAATACTATGCTGCCTAACTTGTGGTTGTTGAGGCTGTTGTTGAAAGAGCAAGAACAGCCGGTAAATGATGACGGCACGGCAGTGTTGGTACACCCGCTTTAAAATGGCGGAGAACTGTGAACCGGACCCAGGATGCTCCGGCTTCCTTTACTGCTGCGAGTGCTCCTGTGCCTTCTGCCTATTATGTCTGGCACTACAGAAACTCTTTGTGTTTAACTGAGGTGGTGCTTTCATATTCACTCGTAAAAAACCGGTGTTTTGAGTCTGTGCGTTCACATTCATCTCGAAAATACACAGTTAAGAGGGCACATTGCTGTTGAAGTGCAGCTGAAGACCTGGAATGTAAATAGTTTCCACGCAGAGCATAATAAAGAAGTACGTTTAGGGTTCTTGTTGGCATTTTTCTTCTCCTGGAGTTGAAAGAGCAAGGACAGGTTGAACTAAAGCGTATGTCTTGCACAAACAGGCCAGGATGGGCATGCTTGAGGAGGAATGTGTAAAAGTCTATAAGCAGGAAGGCCGTACTTGTCTTTTTGTGGCACTTCATGCTTGAATTTCAGAAAGCTGAATTGTCACCTGTTGGGACAATTTAATGGAAGATTGAAATAGGTTGATATTATAGAATGTAGAAAACGCCAGTGCTTCCCTTGAAGATAGGGATACTTATTTAGCATGCCAGGTGAAGTAATGGGGCCAAATAGCCCATGGAATGTTTACTTGGAAGCATTGATAGTACAAGTAAGTTTCTTTTCAGGCAGTTGTTTGGTACTCTGTGCTTTCTGCGCATTGTGTATTGCTCAGCTTTTTTACCTACTCTGTTTTGCTGTGCCAGCTGATACAATTGAGTTCTGTTCCTAAATTTAAAACCGTACTGTGTGTATGGAAAAACTCTGCAGAGCTCATGCTCAGTGTTTACTTGGAAAACAGGAGCCAGAGGTTAAGGGTGGAGAGTAACTGCTCATAAGGAAGTACATGAGGTTTGAGGTGGAGGATAATTCTGGCTTTAGCAGTTTCTTTTGACTTCCTCTGTTTTCTTCATGATAAAATAAGAATTTTATTTTTTTAAGCACTGTGTAACAGCTCTTTAATTGCTGCCCAGTCATAATACATATAATGTTCTCTCCTCCTGAGCACCACAAAACTCAGGAACCATTTATGGCCTGGAATGTGTCATCTGCTCATGAGTCATCAAGTTCTAATCAACACTCGTACTGCCAGAGACATCTGGTTTGCTTCATTCTCTGAAAAAACAGCTGCCCTTCTTCTAAATGGACTTTGGGGACAGGATGCTAGTGAAGAGGATGAGTAGAAGTTCTCTTAGCTTTTCTGAAAGGTAGCATTTAATGCCCTGTTACAGACAAAAAATTCCTTCCAAGACAAGAGCAGCCCTTGGGAAGCAGCGGTCATACACTACTATTTTCACTTGAGCTTCTGGCATCTCTTACCAGGCAGTCCAGAGGCTGTTGTGAAGAGTGCACAAACCCCTCTTCTGCAGGGTTGCTCTTTTCTACTTCTTGACATGGCAGATGTTGGAGGTTAATTTTTCACAAATGGGATGGGACTGCTGGGTGACACGTCACGAGCTTTTATTTCAGGCACCAGTCTCAGCTGCAGATACCGGAGATGGCACAAGCTCACGTCTGCCACAAGCAGCTCAAGATCTCTGTTACAGAACATTTCATAATTTTTTCAGCCAATAGCATATTGCTAAAGCTTACAGACAATTGTTCTATCCAATCACTAGAAACACACATATGCCTTCTTCAAACAATACTTGCTTGTTTACTTTCTATTAACAATACACAATACTCTGTTACTAAGCTTAAAACTTTCTATTATCTTGGTAAGGATATTTTTCTGCATTCTTAAGTTCTATCTTGGCCAAGCCTTAGAAAATTCAACTGTTGTTTCATGTCCTTGCACACTGTGTTACTGCATTTCTTTACTTCCAGCTGCAGCTAGCTCTAAGTTCTCTGCCTTTTCTTTCTGAGGTCCATTTTTATGGCTTCTGAAAATGTTATTACCTTCACTGTTTCCCACAATTCCCCTTCCCTGTACAACCACAAAGAAACTTTGTCACTTATTGACTACCTTGCATTACATAGCTCTACCAAAATACTTTTTGTACCTAAAGGAACAAATTTAAAGTATTTTAATACTTAATGTATTCCTCTTTGCTTGTTTAAGGTACTTCTCTTACTCGCTTTAAGCTGCTATTTTAAACCACAGCAATTTTAATGCTGTAAAAGATCTGGTCTATTCTAAGGATATAAGTCATTTAGTAGCAATTGTCATTTCTTATTCAAATAAGTCTTGTCTGTTCAAGGATATTAATTCAAAGCCTTCCTCTGTATCTATACTTGGATGGCTAAGGCAACCCCAAACATTTGTTTTTGGTTGTTCTAGAGGCACATCTTCACTGCACAGAACAAGTAAGACCAGCAAGTACCAGCATAATACTTCATTCAGCTCCATAGTTTTTGTGAGCTAATTTTTGGCAAATGACCTTTCCATATATCTTATTTCCCAAATTCTACTCTTGTACTTTCTCAAATTTGCTTGGGGACTAGCTACCTATAGCAAGAAAAAGAAGGGATAATTTCACCTTTGCAAATTCGATGGGGGGATGTACTCTCTATAGCACAAAAACACCCATGTTTTTGCCAAAGGAGTCCATGAAATCAACAATTTACACATTTTTCACAATGACACAAAAATCAGGGTTTGCAGGTTCCACAGGTGAACAAGGTTTGTCAGGAAGGACCCGTGGGCTCTCTCTTTGTTTCACATCTCCGTGCTTGTCTCTCTGCTCTTGGACTCATCAGCATGTTCTTCTGTGCAATATGGTTTGATGTTCTTTGCTGGAACCCACTTGGGTCTGGCATCTGTGGAGACACAAGCATACCCTTTGCCCCAAGTTACTGGGGGAAAAGGGCCTTCAATTTGCCCTGTCTCAGGGTTTCTAATTAAAACACGGATTTTCCTCCAATTTTGCCCGTGTGTTATTTTAAAAATGCCTAAAAATTGGTGGATCAGGTTCTGCAAAAGAGCTGTTCAAGAAATTAAAAACATGTAAAGCTTTGCTCAGTCTCAATGTGGTGCCATCTCTGCTCCTCCCTTCTGTTGATCTAGAACACATTTTAGGGTATGATGTGTCCTTTCAATAATTGCTTGGCTTGTGGGGGATTAGGGAGTTTCAGAAGAGTGGCAAACACCCCAGTCCATCAAAAATGTGGCCAATTTTTGGGCTACATATGCAGGGCCATTGTCTGTTTTTACTTCTCAGGGTACCCCTAGTGAAGCAAATACTTGCAAAAAGTGTTGACAGGTATGATCAGCTGTTTCTCCTGCGTGGACAGAAGCAAAAACTGTTCCTGAAAAGGTGTCAACTGATACATGAATATTTTTAAAGTTCCCAAAGGAAGGGTGCTTAGTGATGTCTGTTTGCCGTGGCTGCAGGCTTTGCAAACGCTGTGGGTTGACAGCTCCTGTAGAAACAGGGGGTTGCACAAGCTGGCAGTCAGGACAAGTACTAATGATGGCTTTAGCTTGACTTTTGGAAATGTGAAACATCCACACAAGTGCTTGTGCGTTTTGGTGAAAGAAGGCGTGACTTAGTTTTGCTTGTTCAGTAATGTTTGGCAAAGCATTAGAAACAACCACTGCCAGCTTACCCGCTCTTGCGCTTCCTTCTGCTAAAAATCCTAGAAGCGAAGAATGAGCCCTAGCATGAGAAACAAAATATGGATTAGTGCTGTATTGTAAAATTGTATAAAAGCTTGAAAGCAAACAATACAAGGCATCATTTCCAACATATTTTAAACCTGATCCTTCTATTATTTTAACTACATTAGCAACATAAGCAGAATCTGTAATGAAATTAAAAGGAAAAAGCTGAAAGGCCCTGACTACAGCAGCTAATTCAGTAATTTGGGGAAATCCCCTCACTGTTTGAATATCTGATTCCCATGTTTTTGTTGTTTGATTTAGCCATACTATTACTGATTTGTGTGTTTTCCCTGATCCATCAGTGAAAAGAATTATAGCACTTAAAGGCTCTTCACTCAACATGGGTTTTTCTCTAAAACTCAGTTTTACTTGCAACAGTTTATGAGCTGGGTAATGAATAGAACAAACACCTGAAAAATTCAACAATGCATTTGCAAATCATCTGAATTTTGCAATGCCCAGTCAAGGTTGTCATTTTTCAGAGGCAAATAATAAACTGCAAAATCTTGGCCTGCTAAGGTTAACAACCTTGTTCTGGCTCTAATTATAATTTGTGCTGTCATCTCCATAGTTGTAAAAATTGTCTTTGGGGACCTGTAAGGAAGAAAAACTCATTCCATTATTAACAAAGGATCTCTTTCACAAGGGTCCCATTGAAAAATGAGACCATAAAGTTGCAATTTTTCTCCCAAAACTGCAAGAATAAAAGGGCTTTTCTGGAGCACATTGATGGGCTTGTCTCCTTTGGAAAGCTCCTGTGACATTTTCAAGGGATGCTTGAGCTTCAGGTGTTAAAGTCCTAGGAGATTTGATGTCACAGTCTCCTCTTAACAAGTCAAAGAGTGGGGCAAATTC